GCACATTGCTGGTATGATGACATAGTTATATTAATTAAATAAAGGCTGACTGATGATATTCAGATATTTGTATGTTACATTCAGAACCAGTGGAAGTCTATTATCTTAAGTGTAAGTGTATTATTTATTAATAACATTTATATCTCATTTTTATATCATAACATTTTATATATCATAACATTTATATCTCATTTTTCTTCTGCCATTGAATATAAAGTTCCCAGAAGGTCTCCTAATTTCGCACTGACCAGATGCACCTTAGCTTCGGCAGGTCACTGCATCATGCGCCTTTCAACATGCTCTGTAGTAACAATACTGCTCTAATTTTATAAATACATAAGTTCATATTTAGCAGAAAGCAGAAAGTTTAAAAAATATTTATCCAGTCTCTGAATTTAAAATGGCTTTGATTCATGAATCATTTTTTCAGTGGTTTCCTCTCACTCTGCAAATATAACAGTAGATTCTGCAAGGAAAAAACCCCCACCAGGTGAAGCTTCTCTGATAGCACCGCATGGGGGATGGGGGCAGCAAAGCTGCACCCAAGGGTGTAGACTTTCCAATTTCCCGGGGGGGGCTGGGGCTGGGCCAGAGGCATTGCTTTGCTAGGAGCAAGGGTGGCTCCCGGGGGAGGCTGAGCAGCTTCCTGAAAATTTCGGCGGGGGCTGAAGCCCCGCCGCCCCCACGAAGATTACGCCTATGGCTGCACCTACTAAAGTTCTCTACTCTGTGCAGCTTTTAAAGGTATAGGAGCTGTCTCGGGATCTGATCCTAGTAACCAGAGTAGCTTCTAGCTGGTGTCAAGATGAGTGAGTGTATTGCTTGATGAAAAAGCAAATAAAGAGAAAAAAGCAGATCTTGTGGAGGAGTCTCTTATAAATGAAGTGTCAAATGAAATAAAGTTAAAGGAAAATCTCCTGCTGTAAATGCACAGGGCTGGTGCTTCTAATAAAAATCAGGGCCTCAGAGGAATTAATTACATCAGCATTACAGGAAGAATTCATGGAATTGCAAAATGTAGTGGCACAGACCAGCACGAACCGCTGTTGCAAATGGGGAAACTGCAGGAGAGTCTTAACAATTTCAGAGCTGATATGTGGGACATTGTAGTCACATAATAGCAGTTTAGACACTGTAATGAATAATAGTTTTCAGTGCTAAAGAAAAATGATATCAGACATACTTCTCAACTGAAGTAATCTAACTATATTTCTTTGTGTATGACTGTGTGGGCACAAAACGTTTTCCACTGGAATCTGAGTTCTGCAAGGCCCTACCTGTTACTGAAAATGTTAGCAGAAAATAATATTAAAAATGATGTTTTAGTGGATGTTCTTATAATTAAATTTAAGAAGATGATTTCTAGTCAGTTGCTGATATGAGGCAAATGGTCCTCAGGGTATATACAGTGTGCCAAAGCTTCAGAAAAATCTTCAAAACAAGGAAAATGTTCTTATTAAAGAACAGAGCTACATGCCAACTGGGGGAAAATTGATATGACCTAGCAGCTTTCCATTACACAAATCAGAGTACAGTTAAAAAGACTGGAAGTTTCTTTCAGCAGGTCCTGTGCCTGGAATATTGAGAAGGAAAGGAAAAGGGGGTGGGGGAATTGGCATGATTGAACCTCTAGCAGTTTCCTGAGCAGAATCCCTAGCAGAACACCTAGCAGGGTCTGGCATACCTGAGGGACCGCTTTCCCCCATATGTTCCCCAGAAAGCATTGCGTTCAGGGGCCCAAAACCAGTTGGCCCTTCCAGGTCCTAAAGACGCCAGATTGGCGACAACCAGGGCCAGGGCCTTCTTGGTGGCGGTTCTGTACTGGACTATGGACTATTGTTTAAATTTAAAATGTTCTGCTATCGTGCTCAGGGGTCATTTCATAGAAAAAGAGGTGCAGGAACATATTAGCATAACTTGTTTGCATATGCCACACCCCCTGACATCCCCGGAAGTGTGTCAGAAGGCAACACCCACCGCTCAGGCTCCACTGGACTGTTTTGGATTGGTAGCTATTGGGGGGGGGGAACGTGCAGATCTGTCCTCACAGAGGAGGGAGAGCTTGTACCTGAATAAAACTTGGTCTTAAAGGTGCCACTGAACTGTTTTGGATTGCTAGCTATGGGGGTGGAGGAACGCACAGATCTGCGCTCACAGAGGAGGGAGAACTTGTACCTGAAGGTGTGTGCAATTTACTGCAATTTACCTGGTTGCTTCTTGCTCCTTGTGGCCCGACTGAGGGCTGCTGGGAGCAGGGGGCAGGGCTTGCTGCATGTGTCCACCCCCTGGGCTCCTTACTGCCGGAGCTCCGCTCCTGTGCACTCCCACAGGAAATGACCCCTGCTCGCGCTTTATCTGAATATGGTTCCAGCACTTTAGGATAAGATTTGTTTATGGTTTTTGGTTGTTTTATGATGGATTTTAATTTTATTTATATATGCATTTTATTTAAGCTTCCCTGAGCCTGCCTCAGCGGGGAGGGTGGGGTATAAATTGAAAAATTAATAAATTTATTGACATCTTTGGAAGTGGGGGATTTGGAAACAGACAACATACACTGTGAGCTCAATCCAAACCCTCTCTACCAGTCCATAGTGCTACAACATATCTAACTGCAGAGTCCAATGTAATATAATGTTTAAGTGTTTAATTAGCACCTGGATGATTTGGGTTCAGATCCCAACTCTGCCATGAAGCTCACTGGGTGTCTTTGCATCAGCCACTCTTGGTCAGCCCAGTCTCTCTCAAAGAATTATTGTGAGGATAAAATGGGGAAAGGAGAACAACATATGCTGCCCTGTTCGAGCAAGGGAACCTTTACCTTTACCTTATTCCTTCAAGAAAGGGAAGGATAAAAATACGCTATATAGAAGAAGAAGACTTGGATTTATACCCCGCCCTTCACTCAGAGTCTCAGAGCAGCTTACAATCTCCTTTCCTTTCTCTCCCCACAACAGACACCCTGTGAGGCAGGTGGGGCTGAGAGAGCTCTGAGAGAACTGCTCTTGAGAGAACAGCTCTGAGAGAACTGTGACTGATCCAAGGTCATCCAGCTGGCTTCATGTGAAAGTGTGTGTATGTGGGGGGAGTGGAAAGTGGGGAATGGGGAATCAAACCCAGTTCTCCAGATGAGAGTCTGCTGCTTTTCACCACTACACCAAACTGGCTGGATAGATAGATAAATGATAGATAGATAGATTTAAGTGGTCTCATGCTGTTATAAACTGTTTTCGAAACATTTGCTTTTTCTGCTATTCCCAAATTTGTTGTTGATAATAATTACAATGTAACAGTAGTCATCTATAGAACAAAGTTTGAGTCCAGGGGCACGTTTAAGGTTAATTCTGGACTCAAACTTTGTTCTATTGCTTCAGACCAACACAGCTACCCACCTGAATCTATCTTCACAGTACTAATCTATCTTTATGGTACTTCACAGTGTGCAAAAAACCCAGGTCCCTCCTTCAAAGAGTTCAATGTAAAATAGAATCTTAAAAGAGAGGGAGAGCAGGGAAATGGAGACAAAAGTAAACAAGAAAAGAATGTGTTCATTTTAAGCACACATATTTAGGCTTAACTAAACACAATTTTTATGGCAACTTAAGTGTTAGCACGTTTTTATTCTAGTGTAACCTTCAATGGTTTAGTGCAGAGTTTATGTTGGCAGAGTGTAGATATGCAGTAAAGTGGAGCACAAGCTGTTTAAAGAATAAAGTTGGTTTATTAAGAAGAGAACAAACTTTGTCAGAAGGAGGAGAGAGAAAGAGAAGTCTATCTATCTAACTGACTAGGAGAGAGTCAGTAGCTAACTGATCTCAGTATGGTAGGAAAAACCCCAATTGAGCCAATCACGAGACAGGAAGGAGAGTGTTTGAAAATAGGAGGAAGTCCCTAATCTCACTATGCTAACTAGTTGTGCCCTCTGCTGCCCCCTTCAGGATGTTCTTGTCATTTTCCTTATCTACGCAGGATAGACCTTGCACATTTCAGCAGTTTATGCTGGGATAAAAACATGTTGCTCCTTAAGGTCCTGCCATAACAGAGCTATCCCTCTATAGTAGATAGGTTTAGCTTTAGTAGAGGTTAGGGATTGGGCTGGTGTGCATATAGTTTTAATTAAGGATGTGGGTTTTGATGGGAGATTTGAAGGGAATAAGGGTTCCTTTCTTTTTGTAAGAAAGTTAATTGTAGCTGTTTGGATAATAAGGCTCTCTTCCTAATGAAAATTTTTCAGGTAAACATTAAAGCACCCAAATAATTACAGTAACCATGTGAGACTGCATATGCCTGTGCACCACACATTCTTATGCGGATTAAAGATATATTTGTGATGGAGAGATCTGTCCTGCTGGGGATGAGTTATTTTTCAACCTGAGGGTAGATAATGGGGCAGATGTCAACAACAATAATGTAAATTGCTTTTGACTTTTTTGCATCTCATTGTTCCGCTTCTGGAAGTTTGTATTGTTGTCTTTTAAAATATATATATATATAGGTGTAATGCTAAACAAGCTAAGTTTTTAAAATAATAATAATAAACAATAAACCCAGCTTCAGGAAACAGAGTCCACAGCTTGCTCATAGCTGAATTTATGGCAATAATTCTGTACTGGAGTCCAGTTTTAAAGTCAAATTCTCAATATTTTTTCTTTATGTTAAATTTCTAAAAGTAGCAATAGTATTAATACATAGCCCTATAGCTTTTTAAGTTCAGTAGCGCTGTTATCACTTGCAGTCTTCACAAAAGAGTGACATTTCTTTCCCCAAAAGTAATAAGGTGGACCTCTATATAACTAAATTCTATAGAATAATAATTTGCTAACAACTCTAAGCTATTATGTTACGTTTTCCTCTACCAAATATTTTTCATTCTTTTCCCATTCTTAAATACAGCTTTGCAAATAGGTAAATGAGTTATTTAAATACATTTCTGGTTTATATCTGTTGACTTGAACTTGGTCGCATAATTTTAGTTCTAACTTTAAATATTTTCACAACAGTGACAATTTATACCAAATGACTTCACAGCTTGAATGCATGACATGGAATCAAATGAACTTGGGATCTGCACTTAAGGGGTAAGGTTTGTTTGTTTTTAAATTCAGTCTTACTCTGTAATTTTTTTTTTATTTCCGATGGAATTAGGGAATTTGTCAATATATTAAACTTCTTAGCTTATGAATATCTTTCCCTGCACACACTAAGGTTTAACCTTGAAAAACACAGTTTGTAATCAGAATCTGTAATGATAACTTAAAACCAAGTTTTGTTAATTTTCTGACCATGTCAAGCAGTTAAAGGGCAAAACAGAGAACTTTTTTTTCTGATTTGATACTAATTTCTTTTTAGATCAGTTGTCTGAGCATATAGTACATTCATTTTGCAATTTTGAAGAAGTGTGCTGCGGTTATGGACACTTTTAAGTATCATACTTTACCTTTGTCCTTGAGTCATACCATTGACTTCAAGTGGCCATTGATTTACTTCATTCCAAATGCCTTGATGATGGCATAGACCCATTGAGATTGATGCTAACACAGGTGGGATTGCCGGCTACCAAAACTCTGGCTTTGCCAGTTTGCTTGTTTGTTTAGAGAATAATTTTAAGCAAGGCAAGAGGCAAAATCATTTGCTTTTAAAGAAAGATCTGTATGTCCTGTGTATACAGCCTGCTTTTGTACTGGACCCTACACCTTTCCCGAATCGTTGTGTTGTACTGCAGACTGACCTAAACCACGGAGTTCTGCTTCCCCAGGGCTCTATATCCCAGAATTTTCATTTGTAATAGTTGTTAGACATAGAAAGCAGTGTGTTTAGGCAAACAAGAATGCTGCCCTTGAATGGACAGTATCTCCTTGTTTAACCAAAAGCCCTGAGTGGCTCACCACAAGAAGTATAGGAAAACAGGTCCATAATGTTTTTGCTTCAACCCCAGTGGTTCTGACCCTGGCCATGTTACAGCTTGCAGGTTCCCCTTCTTTATACCTTTCTTATTTGAATCTCATTTCGTTATCATCTCTCTACCTCACATTTCCTTCCATTACCTTGCATTTATATAGGTCTTACATCTTTAGCCTTTCCGGTATCCCTCCCATTTTCCTTAGTTTCCTCACTACAAAGAGCTGTTATCCTCCCACTTGTCGGGAGTGGGTTCCAGAATGATCACTTTTTGTACAGCACTGGTTTCCTGTCACCCTGGAAGCAGGAAGTCCTTCTTGAAATGGTCACATACTGAAGATATCTGATGGGCTGCATACAGGATATAGGGCTGCTACTGTGTTCTTTTTTCTTTCCTGAAACTTGAACAGAGTTGGAAAATGGATATAAAACTGAATTTAATACAGGCTATATTTAGATAAATCTGAACCTTGGGCCTTTGCAAGTAAAAAAGGTTTTTTTTTATAAATAACATGCTAATTATTAATCAGTAGTGTATTGATTTGGAACCCTTTGGAAATTACAATACGTTTTGAAAATCTTCTTAATGAGTAAAAGAAAATATAAATATTGATTCTGTTTTAAATCACCACCATTATAATATCTCTTAACTTTTTTATGGAAAGGTTTTTGTGAGGATAAAATAGAGATGAGGAGAATGATGTAAGCTGCTTTTGGTCCCCATTGAAAAGAAACATAGGGATTAAATGAAGTAAATAAAAATATAGCTTAAGATGGGGGTACAGATAAAACGTAGGTCTGTTGGATGGGAAGGAGAGAAGGTAGCAGGGAAAGGAGAGCTATGGACTCAGTCATGTGTTATTTTAAATTATTTTGAAGATTCTTTTCTATTTGTACTTGAGCACTCCATTGGAGCTTTGAGCATTGCAGATTGGGCCTAAGTAGATCCATGGGCATATGAAATATTGTACATCTTGATGAGTTGTCCATGTTGCATCTCAAGAATATTTATCACCACTTACTCCATGGGTGAACATCTCAGTGTACGTAAGGTCCATTCTGTGTATGATGAGTTTTATGTATATTTTTGTTAAATTTATGGAGTACTCAGTTTGAATTTTACAACTGAGGAAGGTTTTTAGCCAAAACACGTCTGGTATTGGGTTTTGTATATGGATATCATTCGTGCCTTTTAGCCTGTGTTTATATGTTTGCACTTCGTATTAGGATTAGGTACTCATATGCAGAACCATAGGATTGTGTTTTTTAAAACTTATATTTTAGCACTTAAATTGTACTATTAAATTATATATCATATTTGTACGTTTGCACTATGTGCATAGTTATATTTTACTTTTGTTTTCTTTGTTTCAATTTTTTTGGGTTACCTTCCTCATACAATGCTCTGTTTTTCTCCCCTTTTTTGGTTGTACTTATCTTATGAAAAGTTCTCCTTTTTGTGGTTGTTATTAGTCAGTTCTCTGTTTACCTGCCAACTTCAGAAATTTTCTTTTGTTGTATGCACAAAGGAAAATCAGAAGTCTTGAGTTTCTGAATAGTTTACAGCTTTAATGATGATGTTTCTGATGTTTACCATTGCTATTTAATTATCATTTTTAAATTCCAAAGTTATATATGTTTAAGGAATAGTGGGGTTCAAAAGTCAGACGTTTATAAAGCAAAAAACATAAATGTTTAGGTGGACCATTCAGTCATATGTGTCACATTCCAGTTATATCATGTACAATTATCACAAGTTTGCATATCATCTTTCTTTTTCTTGACTTCACTGGCTTGGATTTGAATAAGGACGTGTGGTGCTCTATGCGCAGAACAGAGCTTTACTGCCCTTCATGCCTCCTAGCTGATTTCTGAGAGTTGAAGGACTCATTGGAATATGTGTCCGCGATGCCCATTATTACTGTTTCCCATGATACTGAGTCCAAGTAATACCTTTGGTTTCACAATTTTGCCTTCATGCCTTTTCCATCATGGTTACTTCTGCCTATGGTGCCAAATGTCCTTTGAAGCAAATCTCTGTTAGTCCAGAATATTACTACCATATTAAAGTAATCATTGAATTAAAATAGATATAGCTTTGTTACTTTGCCATGATTGTATTTTTGTGACTAACAAAAGCCTCATGGTACAGAAAGCTAGCCAGCTTTCTGAAAGCTGAACATACATTACTTACTTTTTTACTCTTCCAGTTTATAGTGGGCAGAACTGCATTAACTGCTACACTATGCTTACTGTATTATAACACTGAATCAAAGGGACTGAAGGATACAGCTCCTTGCTAATCTTGAGGGCCTCTGCCATAGCCACGTGTTGATCTTTCCAATCAGGGGTCTTGTTGTAGAAAAAGAGCTGCCGGAGCTCATTAGCATAACTCATTAGCATAACTTATTTGCATATGCCACGCCCCCTGACATCACCGGAAGTGACAGAAGGCCACACCCCCTGACATCACCGGAAGTGTGTCAGAAGGCCCGGCTACTTACCCTCCTGCTTCATCCTCATTCCCAAACGGAATGAGGATCGAAGCAGAGGGCGGGGTAAAGAAGGGGGCGGGGCTTCACCACTTGACCGCCCCGCCCCCTAGAGGTTCTCTTCCGGAGCTCCGTACCTGAGAGCTCCCCCCCGACTAGAGCCCTGTTTCCAATCCTTCTAGTGCTGTTGTGATTTGTGTTAGAAAATTGGGCCCCAACCGATGTCAAGGAACTGCTACAATGACACAATCTGGAAGCTATCTAGTGACTTTCCAAAGGTTAAATGTAATTAGTATTGAGTTTTGAATGCAAGCTTTTCGTTTCATTACCACAAATACAATGCATTCAACAGATAATTAGGGATGTAGAGTTGAAAATTTAATAAAGGAGCCAGTTTGGTGTAGTGGTTAGGAGCACAGACTCTAATCTGGGAGAACTGGGTTTGATTCCCCACTCCTCCATATGCAGCTGCTGGGTGACCTTGAGCAAGCCACAGTTCTCTCAGAGCTGTTCTCTTAAGAGCAGTTCTCTCAGAGCTCTCTCAGCCCCACCTACCTCACAGGGTGTCTGTTGTGGGGACAGGAAGGCAAGAAGCTTGTAAACCGCTCTGAGAATCCGAGTGAAGGGCAGGTATAAATCTAATCTCCTCCTCCTCCTCTGTGAAAAATATGTACTCATAAATGCTCTGAATCTGAATATTATTTCTGACATTTAGAGAGGCTTGGAACTTTTAAAAATCAAACAGTTACTCTGGTGCTTTCCAGACTGTTTTCATTTCCTGAGGCAGTGGGAGGTGAGAGGAATGATGAGGAGAGATATGTGTGATTATACCATCCCACCAAAAAGGATCATTTGTGGGCTGACTGGCATTTCTGTGCGATGTTTCCATTTATTACACTGGTAGGACTTTTTTATTTTATACAAGCATGGGGCATGTTTGCCCTGAATTATCTCTTTATCTGGTCCTGCACATTCCAA